TCATCCCCCCAGCCAGACAGGCAGTGTCATCCTCATCAGCCCAGACAGGCGGCGTCATCTCCTCCCCCACCCTCTCAGCACCCTCACAATAACACACTAGTGCGCCCCGCCCCCGCACTCCCTCCAGTAACCTGACAACCCGCCTCCCCATGTTCAGAGCAAAGTGCAAACCTGATTTGTCGCCTCGGCTTTCCCTGGCTAAGCCCTTCATTGCCCACCACTGCACTGTCTGCACAGCCCTCCACACGCACACGCGTGTGCACACACCCAGCACCCCGCCCCATCCACACACACCCAGCGCACTGCCTGCACAGCCCTCCACACGCACACGCGTGTGCACACACCCAGCACCCTGCCCCATCCACACACACCCAGTGCTCTGCCTGCACAGCCCTCCACACGCACACGCATGTGTACACACCCAGCACCCCGCCCCAGCCACACACACCCAGCGCACTGCCTGCACAGCCCTCCACACGCACACGCGTGTGCACACACCCAGCACCCCGCCCCATCCACACACACCCAGCGCACTGCCTGCACAGCCCTCCACACGCACACGCGTGTGCACACACCCAGCACCCCGCCCCATCCACACACACCCAGCGCACTGCCTGCACAGCCCTCCACACGCACACGCGTGTGCACACACCCAGCACCCTGCCCCATCCACACACACCCAGTGCTCTGCCTGCCCCACGTGCTGCCGCGAAGTCCCTGTGGGGCAGTGGGAAGAGCGCTGGGGGCGGTTCTCCAGGAGCTAACTCACCGGGGGTTTCTCTCGACGCCTCGCCCTGCGGCAGGACAACCTCAACCTCCTGCTGACGGAGGAGGAGATGTACAGCCTGATGGAGACCTTCCAGCAGTGCAAGATCATCCCCGGTGAGCGCTGCCCTGCCTGGGCCCTGCCTGAGCAACGTGCCGGCCCCGGCTCTGGGCGTTGCCGCCCCATAGGGGCACAGCAGATAAAAGCTCTACTACTGCTGACAGCGGGTGGAGTTTCTCCTCTCACTTAGGGTACGTCTACACTGCCAGCCTAGTTCGAACTAGGGTGGCAGTGTAGACATACCCTTAGAGGCCAGGGTTTGCGGGCCCAGAGTCAGGGCCATGCTGCACACGTGTGGGCGACCTACAGCCTCACGCTGGCACCCCGAACTCTGGCAGCACCCCCAGAGCCCTGTTTGTGCCCTCTTTATTCCGGTCCCAAACCCACCCGGGGGTGCTGTGTTTCCCTGGCCACACCGATGAGCCCCCGGGGCACCATGCAAAGTGGAGCAGTGCTGCTGATGCCACCCGTGGCTGCCAAGGGGCCGTGGGCAGCCCGGATGCGGGTCCCGGCACTCGCGTGCTTGGGAGGCTCCGCGGGGTCACATGGCCGGGCAGGATAGCGCTCGCCGTGGGTGCTTGGCAGGCACCCGGGGCTGGGCAGAGCGGGGCTGATGGGCACCTGGCTTGGCCTTGCAGAGACCTGCCTGACGCTGGACAATTTCCTGCACTACAAGCACCTGGTCCACAAGCGCCACTTCGAGAGGCCGATGAGCGAGGAGCAGGAGGAGCGAGCTGCCCTGCAGTTCTCCGCGCTGGACCCCGAGAGGAAGGGCTACGCCGAGTGGCCGGACTTCCTCTCCCACGAGTCCATCGTGCTGCTGCAGAAGCTCCAGAGGCAGGTACTGAGACACCCCCCACGGGTGCGCGAGAGCCAGGGGCAGGGAGCTCCGGAGGCCTGTGGGATCCTCGGTCAGTCCAGAGACCGCCCAGTGCCTCTCCCACTCCCGAGGAGCTGCCTGTCCCCCCGCCTGTGTGTCCCTCCCCATATCCATCTACCTGCCTTAGGCATTTGGAGCGCCGGTCTCCGCACTCAGCACCCCCTGCAGAGCGGGCGTCCGCGGCCGCCTGCCAGGAGTTCCCAGGGTCTCCCAGAACTGGCAACGTGCCTGGACAACAACATGACATTCAGTGTTAAGTGCAAAGCGACACCCCTCAGAAACCGCAGTCCCGACGATCCCTGCCAACTGAGGGGGGGCTCAGTCAGCTGTTACCCGTCCAGAGCCAGATCTTGGAGTCACGGTGGCTCGTTCTCTGCAAACATTCCCCCCCCCCCCCCCGGCACAGCCGGTCGGAAAAG